GAGGGACGGGGCTGGGCTCTGGCACCCCCCCCAGCTTCTCACAGTGGGTTTCTCCCAGCTCAGAGGGTGGGGGGTAAATCGGGGGGGGCTGTGCAGCCCCGTGCTCTCCAGGAGCTGGAGCAGACCTAATCCTTGGGGACTCGGAAGCTGTGATATTCCGGAATCAGCCTTGATTTGGTAGGGAGGAGGAACGAAGTTGCTGCCTGAGCTGTTGTCTCCCAATTCCAACAAAATACTCCAGAGCTACGTGGAGGGGCTTGAGTTTTTCTTGAAAGCAGGGTGTTTTGGGGGCCTTGGCCTCCCCTCGTAGCAGCTCCTTGCGCTTCACCCTATTCCACAGGGATAACGGATCCGGGAGAGCACGTGGGGCTTCCCGGAGTGCGATTAACGAGGCCGGGAAGGGTCGTGGGAGAGAGTTAACGATGCCCCCAGCGTCTCTCCTGACGTGGTTTCCGTCCTGTCACCTTCAGGCTCGAGTGGAGAGGATGGAGCAATTCCAGAAGGAAAAAGAAGAGTTGGATAAAGGATGCAGGGAATGCAAACGGAAACTCGCCGAGTGCCAGAAGAAAATGAAGGAGCTGGAAGTGGCGGATGCGGAGAGCGGGAAGGGGGAGCTGGAGAAGCTCCAGGCCGAAGCCCAGCAGCTGAAGAAGGAAGAGAAAAGCTGGGAAAATAAATTGGAGGAGCTGAAGAAGAAGGAGAAGAACATGCCCTGGAACGTGGACACCCTCAGCAAAGACGGCTTCAGCAAGGTGGGTTTGGGGGAGCCCCCCTCCCTGTGTCCCCCCTACCCCCTGCCAGTCGCTGGGCTGGCGGCTCACATCCTTCTGCTCCCCAGAGCGTCTTCAACGTCAAACCGGAGGAGAAGGAGGAAACGGAGGAGCAGAAAGAGAAGAAACACAAAACCTTCGTGGAGAGATACGAGAAGCAGATCAGGCGCTTCGGTGAGCGCGGGGCAGGGTTTGTCGGGGGCGGGGGGGCTGGCACCCGCGGGGAACCCCTGCCAGCTGCCGGGAGCGGAGCTGGGAAGCTGGGAGCAGCTGGGAAGCCAGGAGCGGAGCTGGGAAGCCGCTCGCTCCAGTGAACGCTTTGATGATTTGACATGTTTTTCCCAAGATTTTTTTTGCCTTGCTCGCCCAACTGAGGCGAAGCTTCGTGCGCTGCCTTCGTTAATCGCAATTTGGGGGGGGGGGGGGGGGGTTAATTTCACA